ACCAAGTAAGATCAACGAGACCCACACTAGCACATCAATCTTTTTAGTGTGAATCTCTCTCCTGTGCAAAAACGAACGAAGCGGTAGCGACTTTGTGCAAGTCCCTGCAGCTTCCTCTTGGGTATTTCGCTCTTTTGAGTTGCTCTTGTGCATCACAGTCTGCACACTCCCTTCTGCCGATTGCTTAATACCCTGAAAAAGTCGGCGTGGAATAGCTGCATTGCTATTCTGCACATGGCTTGTCTTGCTCCCTGCAGAACAGGGGGTACCGCTAGCCAGCAGCACATACCAACAGCATATACCACCAGCTTCACTTGCTGCTTCAAGTTATCTTGCGTAAGTACACGTTGTCTAGATACTGAGTGAGTCGTTGGGTTCCTCCTCTCCTGAGGTATTTGGCCTCTCCTGACTAATGGACTTTTAGCTTATACAAGGGAAGGCTTCATCTCAGTCTGGCCTTTCCTGACTTATGGTCTTTCCCGACTAACCGACGTTAAATTCATTCCTGTGTTTCTTGTGTATTCGAGATGCTCTTATCACGTCCTATGTGGAGACCAATCGCCTAAAGGAAGCTTTCATTTTTCCTGCTTCGCAAAATTTGTAGTATTGCCGGAGGGTAAAAATAGGAGTTTCGTAGAGCTACAACCCAGGAAAAGTACAGATGCAATATTGGAGTGTGATGTCGCCACAATAGTAATGCAGCAGGGAGCCACAAACGCTCTTTCTAGCGGATCAGTGATGTGGCATGCGAGATATGCTTGGAGCCTGTATGTGCTGTCATGGGAGTAGCTGCGAGCACCATCACTGCGGAGTGCTGTCTTTGAATAAAACTCTGCTTACGAAACAGGCAGTAGAATCCAATGCCAAAGGCAATCCAATTTCATTTGTGCAAAAATATGATACGGCACCCTGTTCAGTTAACTTTGCTGCAGTCTATATAGTTGAAGTTGGGCATAAATCGTTCCTTCGCGCCTCGTGCTGCAACTGCATGCGCGGTGAAACTCAAATAATCGAGAACTGCATAGCCTGCTTCGCCGAGCAGGTAACAAGACTGCCTCGCCATCTCCTCCACAAACGGTGCGTTAGTAAACAGATACTCATACAAAAATCTACTGTCCAACATTTTGTAGTTTTGAGGCGCAGCCATTGTCTCGCCCTTCATTTCATAGCCGAACTTCATCCCACGCACTGCACACAACAGGAAATCAAATCAGATAAAACGCTCATCCCTGAGGAGTTTGCATATTCAATATTTGGAATGCCTGCATTGAAAGGCAGAGAATAGGGCCGTCCACGACCATTTCCACTTACGTGCCAGTGACGTGGTTTCCGTCTTCGACCCGGTTACAGCGAAGGGATGTACGACCAGCTCACGAAGATAAACAGCTGGCTTGAGCACACAGTTTCCTCCGGCGCGACCATCGATATAGAAGGTGAACATTTTACAGGTGCTTAAGCTTTTGCACAATGATTGACAGTCCTGCGGGGAAGAGACCCTGTCCGTGACAGTCTTCAGTGGAACGGTACTGCTATCGACGCCCACAGAGGTATACGTGAATTCGAGGTTGCGTAGTGCCACATTTTTTAATTGGGTGATAGAGTTTGGCGCGCGATTGAAGTACGTGCTCATCAGGTGTGAAGATGAGATGGTTTCGGTGTTTTGATTTGCCATCGCCAGACCATCATATCTGGTTGATGCCTGAGTTATTGTGTTGGTACCTTGGCCAACGGTTAGGCTAGTGGGGACTATCCACGGAACTTGCCTAACTGAGCGGACAGGGGTAACACATGATGAATCACCTGAGTTGGCAGGGTGCAAATCCAGTTGACTTCGTTGTGTAACGCCTTACAACGGTGTGATGTTTAGCAACCATACTGTACATCATTCCACACCCCTTCCCTAAGCTAAATTGGAATGTTGCAAAGGGGTCTATATTATTATCAGTTGCAGCAGTTGCGCCCTCGGTAGTGTTTAATAAATGCCGAAGGGCACCTGACCTCACTTATGGGAATCGAGCAACGCGTAGCGCGGGACGCAGTTTCGGTTGTTTCTCTGGAATCCGCCAATAACGCATGAGAGCAACTAGGGGGGCCGACAACGGTTTTCATCGATTGAAGCCTTTGGCGCATCACCTCAAGCTTTCCCTTGCCGGGAAATTCTTCTGATTCTTCTTCAAATGGATATGTGTACACGGAGAAACCCAAGGGAATTTCGCTTTGCCGGCGCAGGGTTAGTGGGGCTTCCCATGATGTGCATTGTTCCGTTAGTACATCCCATTCCCAAACAGAGCACCTCTCAGCAGACTTCTGACAAAGAGTCTGGCAGTCTTCTGCACTCCGTGCAGATTCAGATAGCAGTAGAGGTGAGGTGCGGTGTTCTACCGACAATGGCAGGTCGGATGCTACTGGAACGACCGTCCAGGCATCAGCAAAGCACGAACTTCCTCCAGTTGCCACTGAGTTAACGAAACAGAAGGATGGAACTGGTCATGCTGTATAGCATGCAGATGCAGGGGTGACCTGCCAAAAAGTGGTTTATTCATCAAGGTTACACGCTGAGGGTAGTCACTATCTAAATTTGGACCTGATTTCGCATGTGTTCGTGTCCTATTATCTGTGTATCTCTGAATCCGTGCCGCTATTTGGGCAGTTACACAGCATCATTGTGTTCAACTAATAGATGTGGAGAGGGAGTACATACACGAAATGGCCTGCGAGCAGTCCTCAGTGGCTGAGATGGCGTCGTCCTGTTTGCGGATCAACACCGTTTCCGCAGAGTCCTCCGTTCTTAGCAAACAATAGCTCTTACCCCTGTCAAAGGTCCAATGGGTACAAAGGGCAACATCTCCACAAGCCTTTGCGCACTCTGCGCCAGTCTTAGCTTTCACCAAATAAAGCCTCTTGCCCCTCCCTAACGCGAAGCCTTCCAAGTAGCACCATCCCCTTGTGGGCCTTGGCACGAGGCAAGATGCGACGAGGAACAGGGTAGCCAAACAGCGTCTTTTCAGGAACATTGCTTAGAGCGAGGCGGCAAACTGAAGAATGCGCAGAATTGTGGTTAAACTTCTCAAATGTTTAGTATGGGCCATGTATTCAACGTGGAACGTTGCAGCGGGGTTAATGCGTTCCCCTCCATTCAAAGGGGCAGCACCACTTCTAGTTGCCAGCGGGTCGGCTTTTGATAAACTCTGATGCTAGCTAAGAATTTAGCCGTCTGTTGCAGTGAATCCCGGCGGTTGCAACTACAAGCATGCTTCGAAGCCGCTGTGGGTCCCATTCCTGTTAGTGCTTGACACTAGTAATGGAATGAATAGGAACTGTCATGAACCGGATGTACGTCTGATTCAATGAGTGGTGCCCTGTTCAGACAGCAGTGCATGCAAGGAGTGTCAGCGCGGACCAAGAACTAAGCAGAAAAGCATAGGAGGACTTCAAAATTATACTATAAATTAAAGGAAAAGCGTTCTGATAGTTGATGGCTAGCGGTATGGTTAGCTGGCCGCTTGACCACCGACGGGGCCCCAGATACCTCTGGTACTCCTAAACGCTAGATGGCAACGAGAAGGCCTTGTGATTAATTATCGACCTCCACTGCTATAATATTGGATTACCTCCGGATCTTTTTGTTCATTTCGTGTTTTTGAAATAACGAAGTGAACAAGTCCATCTGCCGGTCCTACGCTAAACGGGCTCAAGTGTCCTCAGTAGTGGGCGTGCGGGTAAAACTTGCCTCTACCGCCAAAAAATAGTGCTGCTTAATATATATTTCTGTTCAGCTAATATGCTAATAATGCAGAAGGTCGGATTATGAGATGGTTTAATCTCGTGTCTGAGGTACTCACGCTAGTGCGCTGTGGCAACAGCGTTCTGCATGGACTGATGGCGGTGAGTGTTGGCGGCCTCAGGAGAACGAGTGCAGCTAGTTTCTTTTGCACTGTATTCACATTTGAATTGGAGTACACATAACTTCAAGGGCCGAAGCGTGGTCTGTCGCGAGTGCCGCATGCTGTGATGGTCAGTTCAGTGGGGGAACAAATCGGCTGCATGCATCCGTTGAAGAGACGTCACAGCAGAAAGATACTAGTTTCACGCGTGTTCCACATCGGAAAGGGTCTCAGTTGTCCCCGTCACAGTTAGGGGTTTCTCAGGTATGGCCGTCGGGGTCACTGACTAAGTTCGACAACTAGTAGGCACACAACTCGCCCGCAGTAGGTGGGAGGCCCATTGTCGGCTAAGCAGTGGAGGAGGCATATGTGGATTCCTCAGCGAGCTCAGCAGCGGCCAACGTGGAACGGACAACAGCAGATTCCAAAAGCTCCTAACGAGCCTAGCGTGTTCGCTATGCAGGTTTGTGCACTACACACCACCCGCAGATCAACCAGTGTACGTGGTTGTGCTGGGAAGTCGAGTGCTCAGCTAAGGCCACGCAACTCTCCCCCACCCCACGCTTAAAGGGTAAACTCGTAAAGGGTTTATACACGTGACGATACGGCTGAAAGGGTGCACCTGTTCTAAACTTTCTAGGTTTAATTTTCCATTATGCCATTCAAACAATCGGCAGTGGCAATGACTTGTTCTGGCTTAAGGAGCACTGCATGGAAATGTCAGTGTGTGGCCTGGCTCAACTAACCCTTTGTAGCAAGGCAAGAGTCCGCAATGTCTGCGTGATATCGCGTGAAGGTGGGGATTTGACTAAAATTACACAGAATAGCATCAGTAATCGAATTCGATGGAGACTTTAAACCGTTGCTCTGTTTTTTGGTTGTTGCAACAGTTCTCTATCGAATTCGATTAAATTCTCAAATGTTTAAAGGAAACAAAATGAATTACGTAGGTTGGGTTTTTTTGGAAAACGAATTACGGGGATCACATTTGGCTTTCGAGGGGCTGCATCAAAAGCGTTTCGTCAATGGGCTTTGTGCAGCTAGGCTTTCAATGAAGCTGATGGTGGTGCCCAGAAGCCACTGCCCACATGTAGCGCATATATCCCGATTTGCAACTTATGTCCGGGGTCCAAGGAACCTCCGTTGGACAACGTTCAGTTGGACAGTTGACTTCGATACCTAAGATAGCAGAGGTAGCAAAACCATCCTATTGTTGTTCCATTTATTCACCCAAACGAACAGAAAGGCAGGGCCACTGGTAAATACAGCAAAGCTCTAAAATGAAATGAAACTAGAGGACATCCAAAAGATGGATACGCGAATTTCTCCTGACAGTTTGTCTTTGTCAGCTTGAATGTGCTCACTTCTTGAAGGCACAGCTGCAGGTGCGCGGCTTGGCTTTGATGATCTTGGTGAAGACTCGCCGCACCATCGCCCTTCGTTAGCTCACGTTGGCTTTTTTCAGGCATCAGGTTTCGAATGAGGATTTCAACTTGCTTCATGCTCTTCGCCAGTGTCGTGCTGTATTGTAAACAAATGCAGCGGGCAAGGAAGCCTAATCAGCCTAGCTCCATGCCACCCATGGCCGAAAATTGTTGTCTAAGACCTGTGAGATTCGTTGGCGGTTTAACTAAGGGTGGCACCCTTTCCGTGTGCCGGAATACTTACCGCATGCGAGTACATCTTTTGAAAAATTCTTTCTCCGACAGTTCATGAAGCTTGTGCTCGTCTTCATCTGTACCCTCTTCACGAGCACGCAGGTGCTGCCGCGCTTTTGCCAGCCACTGATGTGAGAACTTAAGCGCCACCTGTGGAATTCACCAGCAAGCTAACATTGCTCTGACTTTCAAGTGTAGATTCGAGGGAACTGGCCCTGCGATTCTACCACGCATTAAAAGCGATGTCAATGCTCAGGTGGCTCCGAAACGCTATACAGGCGGCGAGCGAAACGAAACCGCTACCATTTGACGCTCAGCTTAAGTTACTGCTATGGTCGCCGTTACAGACCTGGTAGGTTTTCGCCCGACCAAACAGAAACCTTTGTTGATGAAGCTGCTGGGTGAGTAACTGTGTCTGCTGCTCGAGGGCGTCTTGTTCCATGGCTTTCCTTTCCTTTGCTGCATCGCTAATGATGCGCTTCTTTCTTCGTTGCATCCTGTCGAGCAACTTCCTCTGGTAGATGATATTCTGGCGATTCTTTTCAGCTCGAAGGGCGTTCTCAAGCTGCCGCAAGTCTGCTGTGAGCTCGCTTAACAATCGATCATGTGATGCGTGTATCCCCTCTGGTGATCCCGCTGCTTCCTGGCTTGCCTTTGCCTTTGCTTCAATTGATGCATCAAGCATCTTCCTCCTTTCCTTCAAGCCAGCCTCTGCCAGCTCCTGAACTTGTTGGAGCTTCGTCCACTCTTCGTTTTTAAGGTCAAACAGCTTTTGTGCCCATTGCGCCTGCAGCGCAATGACAGGTCCTGCAGTACGTTTGAACCGTGTACTGGATACCAGAGAGGGCCTTTAGCAGTCGAATATACGAACGCAGGCTATCTGATGCGAGTGGCATATACATTGGCACCGACTGGGGTTAGAAAACTCCATGCAACGTAGTTAGATACACTGTTGCTAAGAGCTGCTGCAGCACAGTTTTCGGTGCTTGCACAAAGAAGCTCCCTGAAGGTGTTGAAAGCAGGTAGTATCACCTCAACGGCTTTGATCCGCTCGTCAACATGAGCCTTGTAAGCCGCCTCTTTTTCCTCCATTGCCCTTTTGGCGGCAATCTGCTCCTGCTGAATGGCCTCGAAACGCTGCTTCCACACTTCAGCCATGCGAGTCCGAGCTGCACAAAAGACGGTACCACGGCAAATCTGTCCCCGTCGAAATACATTCAAAGGACAACCGCCACGAGTGTTTCCAGCGCGTCTCTTAGGGATATATAACTCCCTCTGCAGCAATGCAAGTTACTACGGTAGCGGGTAGTTTGTATGGGCGCCTATTTGCCGCAGAACTAACTCTCTTTTGTCTCTTCCATATATTGCTTGGCGGCTTCGCTGCCTTTCGCAGCCAACAGCTTTAACTTGCCTGAGAATAAATGAGGAAAAGCCTTGAATGCAAGTACTTCAGAGCCGTATACATCAGCTAATGCAGCCTCACCAGCCTGCGGCTTGCACAGGCTACAGCAGCAGCGGCCCAGTCACTAGCAGTGCATTGCAATTCCCAAGGACAGGCAAATGCATAAAAAGATGGCGTTAGCATAGCAGGGAGAGTACCTTCTAAGGATGCTTGCCACGACTCTTCCAGCTGGCATTTTTCGTGCAGCTGGTTGTCCTCGATGCGTCGTGAAGTTGCCCTCCAGGCTGCGTGTCTCAACTGCAGCTCAGCCTGAGGTGACGAGAAAGCGGCAATGTAGCTCCAACAAATTTTGTGGGATTGCAATCAACGCCCTCCGTTGTCACATCCCTTCACAAACATGCGCTCAGCATGGCCCAGGCTAACAGGAAGTATCAATACCTACGTCGACCTCGCCATCGTGGTGCTCAGCCCAGTCCTTAACAAAACTGTCATATGCATCTTCCATAGTCTGCGCCTGCCTCTTCTCCATTTCTCGCAGTTGCCGTTGATATCGTTGATGAGATTCGGTCCATAGTTGCCTAGCAAGCCTGTCAAGCTCGTGTGGCTCTACTTCAAACTCAATGGAAAAGTCCACAAGGTCTTGCTGCAGTTCTTGCTGCAGCCTGTCAAGCTTCAGTTGTTTCTCCTTTTCCAATTCCTCCAGAGCTTTCTGCTGCTCAGCTTGGAGGCGGGCCTTTTTTTCCAGCAGGCGCTGCCGCCTTTCTTGCAGTAGCTGCTGGGCGCGCTGGTCCTGCATCAGTCTCTCCTGGTCATTGGTTGTTTCAGCCTGTCGCATGCGCTCTCGGTATGCCTCAATCAGGTGCGCCTGGGCCCCGCTAAGATCCCCTTCAGCCAACGCGATCTCTAGCTGCCTACGTTTGTCTTCAGCCCGTTGTTTGTCAGGCTGGAGCGCAGATTCTGGCCCTTTATCTTCGGCACTCTCACCAGCAGTGCCATCTCCATGGCTCTCGAGCGCATTAGGGCTCCTGCTCCCTTCCTCAGGTGACTGGGTCTCTGGCAAGAGTTGCTGTTGATCTTCGCCCGCCTGGTGAGCCACTCCAGCAGTGTCACCAGGCCCTTCTGAATCTGCAGATCCCTCGGTAGGCTGGCTATGGCCAGGCTGTCCTATTGCTAGTTGTTCTGTGGAAGCTGCCCGTTGCATCTCCTGAGTTAAGGCTTCGATCTCTGCCAGTTCAGCGTCCACTTCGCGGAGCTCCTCTTCTCGGTTGCGAGTTAGGCGGGCTTTCTCCACCTCAAACTCGACATCTGCCTGGTGTACAGCTAGCTGGCGCAGCACTTCATTCATAAAACGGCCTTTCTCGTTTGCCAGCGGCCCCTGGTACTGTTGTAGCTGCCAAAGAGGGGAGCCAAGCACGCACAAACTAATCCTAAGTGACCAGTTGTTCACAACCTTCTACATCAAGACTTCAGCAGGACCTAGGGACCGTACCTCCATAATTTCGTGAGAAACATGCAGCTGCTGCCTGTGTCGCGAAGCCTTTTGAGCCTCCTGGGACTTCGACAGGCTACGTATGCGTTCGCCATAAGCCGCCTTCTGCTTTTGCATCTCATCGGTCTTATTTGGTGCTGACGTAGCGAGCACCTTCTCCCAGCTGGAGCAGTAGTCGGCTATATCTGCATCTATAGATGATGCGCCGCCAGTCTGCAGGAAATGGCTCAGCATGGCTGCGCCGGTTCGGTAAGGAGAAACAGCCACGCCAGTGGGGATTCTTGTTTTTTGAAGCAAGTTTGCAGACCGACGACAGGAAAGTCTCACTGGCTTACGGATATGTTCATCATTGCCGTGACCTTCGTTTCTGCGTGTTGTAGCAGCAGTTCTGTAACCCGAGCAGTGGCACTCTGGACTTCTGCTTCGTGCATTTCAGTTGCAGCAATCTCCAGGTGCGTTACTTCGGTGCTCCTTATGTGCTCTAGGTGAAGGAGTTGGACGAGTTCCTCCTCCTTTGCTCTCAGCATCTCGAAGGCTGAGATTTCACCAGCAAGCCGAGATTCTTCTTCGTCCTATGAGCACGACCAACTGAATATTGGATTTCGCAATAATTGGTGCTGCTCAACGATTCGCAGCAACAATGCAGAGTTGACTGAAATAGGCTGCGGCTTAGTTTGCACTATGGCCACTTGACCGGCAGCTTGTAACTCACGCGTGCTCGCGTGACAGTCTCCACCTCCCCATTAGCTAATTCCTTAATCCGAGTTTCTAGCTCATGTATATCATATTGGTGGCCCCTGTAACCCTCCAGGAGAGTGAGCTGCTTTTGGAACGTTGCAGCGCGAGCATCAGCCTCTGATGCTAATAAGAACGCCTTGGAGATGCTCTGTGGTGCATGCTCACAAGATATCGGGCATAAACATGCACAGCTTGCTCATCAACTGCAAGTATGCTAAGCGTGTGAAGGAACGCGGTGCTAATTCTTATTGCCCAAAGCTGGGTAAAAGCCGGATATATTCTCATGACAGCACGCGCAGGACACTCACTTGCGCCACTAGGATCTTAAGCTGCATTCTCTCTTTTATGTCTTCCTTTTGAAGCGCTGCGAGGTTGTCTGCCGTCTGCTTTTCCAAGCCGGATGTCTCCTCGCGGTGAGTGTACATTGCCTGTTTCAGCCCTTCCATGTACCGGCCGTTTCTGCATTGTATACGCCGGAGCAGGAAGCACTGAAAATGAAAACATTTGCTGCACTTGACGTTTCCATAGAGAACATATCTGTGTGAGCTACATGCTACGGAGATGCCTTGCATTCGCGCATGTGCATGCCAGGCTGCAAGTGTGTCAATGCACCCAAGAGGAGCCTGTTATCAGGAGACATGCCAACTGAAGTTAGAATTGCTTCTGGCCTTGTGGCAAATGCTGGAGCACGCGCGGCAGAATCCAAAAAGTGATGCAATGAATTAACCTATTCATCGGTATCACGCATTCACCTGTGTAGGCTGCGTTGGGTAAAAACAGCCTACTACAGAAGACCTACATGCGTTTGAGGCCTACAACCACCCCTGCGTGCGCGACCTGGAACTGCTTGAAGTAATTGTCCAGAAGGCTCTGGAAGCTCGCCTGTTGTTGCTTCCAAAGCTCTTGGACAATATCCTTCGTACTGTCTGGCAGGGCGCGAACCTGGTACAAATCCTCGAAAGCTCGTGATATGCCCATATGCCGCAACAGTGGGGCCCCAAGTCCTGCCTCTGCCGGCGCAGTGGTCTCAGCCAAACCTAAAATCTTGGCGAACGCTCCTCTTGCTCTGTCGGACTGCACGTACACATCTTTCATCAGCCTCCAGATAAGGTGTGCTGCACCCAATGCGAAAACATGTGGGAGTTAGCACAGGGGGAGGTGACAAAAACCAGGACAGCAGAAGGAGACATATAAATGTCGATAACTCTTCAGAAGGTTAACTCTAGCCAGAAGCGGTTCTCTTACAGCAAGCCGCGAAGACTCTCCAATAAACTTGTCAAAGGCTTGATTCCGTTGTTCCAAGTGCGCAAGCCTGAGAGCCTCGCACTGTTTTTGCAGCTCTTCACGCCTAGCGAAAGCGCCAGCCATGGCTTCGAGTGCTTGCTTCTTCATCTCCTCGATGCGCTCTGGGTCCAAAGCCAAGGGCGTTTGTGGGATAGTGGTGTCCTCGGAAATACTGAGATGTGCTGTTACCATTTCCAGTAGCGCTCCTCCAGAGCTTCCTTTGCATCTGCGCACTAGGTTTAAAACTGCAGCTTGTGCTTCAGCTGCTGCAGTTGCCTTCGCAGCTGCAGACGCATAGACGGATCGGACTTCTTTCTTGAACGCCTTATGCAATTTTGCCAGTGCTGCCTTTTCGCGTTCCGCCAACACATGGGAATGCCTCGCCATCGACGCGTGGGCGGTTTGCAACGAATTGCGCAGAAGTTCCATCTGTGACTCTGATTTCGCCTTTATTTGAGCTTCCTGCTGCTGCTTTAGCTCCTTCAGCTTCTTCGCTGCATTCTGTGTGTACGAGGACTGAACCCAGTTGCCAGTCGATTTGGCGCACTTCTGCTGAATTATTGATCCAATTGAGCCGGTGAGATTATTCACCATAGAAGGAACTTCGTCATCTCGAGCCACCATCAGCTCCGCCAATACCTATTGGAAATTGCAGATGCCACAGATATGGCGCCTTTGTCCAGTGTACTAAGCACCGACATATGGTGAGAGACGGGTTGTGCATGCCTAGTTTCACAGTTTCTGCCTGTTTGAGGAGCAAAATTCGCTACCAACACGCGTAGCCTGCCGTGGCTTTACGCAGGTACCTCTTGAAACACTCGATTCAGCTGGCCCGACACTTCACCTAGGACTCTGCAGCAGAGCGGAACAAGTGGACAACGAAGGTGCCCGCCTTCGCATGTCTCGGTTGGGCCTCTAAAGGAGCAGAGGTGTAACTAGATACACTTAGATCCACAAAATAGCTCATTCTATGACCCTAAAAGCGGATGAACCCCCCAAAACTGTGTGCCTGCATTTGAGTGGGCTAGGGCGCTGACCGGTCATCTTCTCTGGCGCGATTGATAAGAGTGGTTTGTTGCCACTCTAAGATGCAATCGTTCTGCGAGACTTGAAGAGCCAACATATCCTGTCTGGACACAGTGCAAAGGGTGGAGAATGCGTCGATCCTTTCCTTCATTCGACGTTCAGCGAGGTCCACGTGTCTGTGTAAATATGAGAGGCTTTTAAAGCGGGCGGCGACCTGCTTCGTCTCGCGCTTCAACAGGAAGTCATAGACCGACGCTAGCATGAAGTGTCGCTGGCCGTCGGGGTCTGTGGTAGCCTTCGACCCATACTGCTCGGTAACCTCTTGAATATCTTCCACAGATTCCTTGCTCTGGAAGCAACGTACAGGCACACCCCGATACAGCGACCAATAACAGATGCGCCGGCTGCAACGCGTTAGGTCTGCTCATAGGGTTTACGCTGGGTACTTCTATACTGTGCGCTGCTTATAGAGTACGCACTTCCTTAGCAGTCCTGATAGCGGCATCCAGGGAGTCATAGACAGAAGGGCCCGCCTTTGCGACGCACACCCTTAGTATCTCTGCTTCCTTGTTGCCACCACTTGCCTGCTTGAGAACAGGCTGTTCTTCGCCTCGCCTGGCCTGGAGTTCTCCATCGAGTTCCCTGAGCTTCTGCTCAGCTTCTTGGCGTTTCTCAGGTCCTTGAAGGGCCGACAAGATGCAGCGTAGCAAGGCTGTGACATGCCGACTGCTGATCGACAAGGTGCCTTTTAGCTGCGCTGAGTCCACCCTTTCTTGCAACGAAGTTAGCATCTTCCCAACCTGTGGCCGCACCGTTGCAGGCAGACTGAACGATTTTCTTGGGCATGGTGGCTTTCGCTCCAGTGTCCTTCTGGGTCCCAATGCATGCGGACAACAAATTCAGAAGGGGCCACCATGTAGTAACGGAAGAGGTCCCTCGGAAAAGCAAGCCATATTCCTCTCCTACCAACTGAGTTGCTTCCAAGCATGTCTCCTTTTCGCGTTGCATTTCCTGGTCCAGCACATGCGCTACTGCCGCCCGCATATCGCATAGCTTCTCAAGAGTTGCCTGGGGGTGCAGAAGGATCGCAGGAGACGCTCTGTCACACGGCCGCAGGAGATGCTTTATTTTACCATTATGATCACATGTAGCGCTACATCGTTGCCTCCAAACTGTTTACACCACCAGTGGATGCGCGTGCCTTATTTTGAGCAGGTGAGGAAATAGTTTTGTAGGAAGAAGGATGCAACCACATGAGGGGGATTGGTTGCTGAGCCTTCCTTACTTGCACGACACGAAGGTCCTGAATGTCGATTTCAACATGCAGCCGGTCAAGTGCCGGCTTCACATCGGCAACAGGGTCGTACTGTTCTTGTTCCTGCGAGGCCGCACCGTAGGGCTTGAAAAACAAACCATTCGTTCCAGACGCTACAGCTGCACGAGCTGTTGCTTTTAGCGTTGCGGGTAGTGAACATAAAAATAAGGTTTTATGTAATAAATTACTGTGGCTCCGGCAGGTGCACCTACGAATATGTTTCGAGGTGCCTCGCCGCTTGTGGATGCAGGGTATCGCTGCACGGCGTTTGATCCTTCAACAGGTCAACTATGCATTTGGACTCACTATGAATGGAGAGGTGGAATGATCAGCCTACGTATGCATGCTCAAACCTACCGTGCTATCCAGCAGATCATCTCGTATTCTGTAATGTATGATGCGTGTAGAACCGGCTGGCCTCATGTAGCGCGAGTAGATATCTGCTGCGGCACCCTTTGGCGCTTTAGGGCGCATGGGCGCCAGACTGCTACAGCCTTGGAGGCAAAGGGAATATTCAGAATTGGTTGGGCCCTCAACAGCGGGCCAGCGGTGACGGATGAATCGTGCGGCTAGGCCCAGCAGCATCAGCACGACTAGAACCAGCGCTAACAACAGCCCTGCAAGAAGGACCCAGTCTGGGTCGAGTAGGATGCTATTCGTCAAGAGCGATATGGCCAGGAGACTCAGTGGGCGCAGGCGAATGGGAGTGGGGTATCTGAGCGCAAGGTTCACGAGCATTCCATTTGACACAGAAAATGTGTAGCTGACTGCCTTCGAATGCTGCCATTACACATTAAGGGCCATGGTGAGGAGAGAAAACTGGAGGGCCCGTAAAGCAAAAATAGGGTGCCACGGTACACTATTCCAGTGTGGTTTACTCTACGCGGCATTGCGGAAAAACGCTCACTCAGTGTCTCCCGGGCATTCCATGCCTGGGGGCAGAACCCGCACCAACGACAGTATGGAGTTGTGCATTGACGAGGCGAACACGAAACTCCCTTCGGCTTCAAATGTTTGAATGAAGAAACTGGGGCTCTTCCCACTCTCCACTTGTTTCGCAAGCGCTCTAAAGCCAGTGCTGTCGAAGGTGCTGCCTGTGTTCAGGAGAGATTCCTGAAATGCAGCAAATCGCATGTGGGCGTAAAACAGCGCTACGCTTCGCGACGCGTGACTCACCAGCCCCACCTCCCCCTTTTTCGTCAAGCATTACGTTGATACAGACTGTTATTGATTATGGAGTTGACAAGCGAATGACTGCCTCTAGCACCAATAGAGGCTGCTTCTACTACGCCAGTTTTGCGCTCTACTGGATTTCGGGCTGACCTGAACATATATGGGGTAGACTCCGTCTTTTAACTCCCACACAATTGAGGACCCCTGAATGATGCAGATTACGGTGTTGGTGACTGTCATTGACTGGATATCCGAGATGGATGTCTGCATGGAGTTGTTTCGCAGCCGTAAAAAGGAGCGACGTAGCTGCTGGGAAATCCCGGAATCCCCAGTGGCAGAGCTTTCTTGTTCGAGATCAGTCCCCCTAGTGGTGCTCTTTGCATGCCAAGAGCTGCGGCGGGCCCACGAAAACCGGCGGCGTGTTGGAGTTTCATTCCTCAATTTCCGCGAGGGAGACCAGAGTGAGTTTGGAGGGACATACAGCCCATGCAACCCTGTCTGGTCAGCCCGCTGGAAATGAATTTTACAGGGGATTGGAACTCCAGTGAACATTTCCTGCTCAAGAGGCAAAACGGTTGCACACAATTCTCAATTGCAGTTACATAGCTGGACACAGGCTATTCCTCCCGGGGTTGTGCGAGCAGTCGCCCTGCGGTGAGTTGGTTCTGTCGTACTCTGAACATCGAGCAATATAGGAAAGCTTCCGACAGATCTATATCTGGGTGTTGCAAGGTGGTTGTTAGTCCTGTCTCGGGATCATTTAAGACCATTTTCTCTCCTTCCAGCGTTACGGTTGGAAGTGCTGCCTTGCAGCTGCCTTCGCACTGAGTCGTCTCTGCTATAGCTTTAGCGCACTCACAAATGCCGGCACTGCTAAGGAACGTGCCGCCCTCAGGGCCACAAGCCTCTGTGCAATCCGCTAAAGCAGCACAGCGCCCCAGGTGGTCCCTGTGCTCCAGGGTTTCACAACGCTGGAACGTCACTGGCTGACAATTCAGCGTTCCGTCATCCAGCTCTGCCACCTCCAGGTGGTGGTCGTAGCTTACGTATCTGAGTGCACGCAAAACGGATATAGGAAACAAAAAAAGCAGCGTACGATGAGCAATGCGGATGGGCAGCAAGACAGGCAGAGCAGCAGTGAAGTGGGTGGAGGCCGCGGCAAGGCAGCGGTATAGCTGACCCGCTCTGGCAGGGACAAGTCTTGTCTCCGTATTGGTATACGCGGTTTTCCCCCAAACATGTGCAGCTGTAGGCCCCCACCTCCTGCTGTTCCACGGAAGTCGGGCCACATTTATCACACGAGGTCTGCAGCTCACCATCAAGAACAGAAGCCGACACCTTGATCCCTAAGCTGGTGTTTCTAAAGCCTTATATGCTATCTACTACAGCCCAAAGGATGTCGAACCCAGGCCACCAACCCAAGGGCCCATGTAGATGCAGAGGTAGCAACAGATCTCTATAGTCACAATACTGCTGCTACGTCTCCTGTTACGCCTCCCCAGAGTATGCAAAAAATGGTAAAACAAATTTGAGTAGGAGGTTACAAACAAAAGATTACATTCAAACCGCAAAATGTCTTGGGGCTCGTGCCACGAAAGTGAACAACAGGACAAAAATGTTGGGGCGTGGTATTGACGATGAATAGTATAATGGTATGCATGGATCTCAGCATGCATGGGAGTTCTATAAATGCCTTTTGACGTCTCGCAGATTAGCCAGTGATGATGCGTGCCTACTCACCATTGCAACGAAACGCTGATAGGTTCCTGAAGGGCAGGGGAGGCAATCAGAGGCGCTTCCAGCCCCAGGATTTTCTCTATACGTTCCTGGCGAACAGGGCCGGGGCGTGATTGCTCCCGCGGGACAGTAGTAGCCAGCTGGGCAGATATAACCTCCGTTTGTCGACGGCGTAGGAGTTGTCGATCCTTCTGCAGCGGCCGCATAGCATGATAACCGTTTTTTTGCCGTTCTAAACTCTCAACTCTCAGCTGAGTGCACTCAAAACTAGGCCCTTAACCAGCCAACACATATTCACTGTCAGATTTGGTGACAGGACTCTTGGTACCCCCTTGCGCTTCTCAATATCTGAAAGACTGCTATGAAAATCATGTTTAGTGGAGGGTAAGCACCTGTGCATATGTATCCAGGGCTGCAGGCACTGCAAACAGAGGAAGCTGCCTCGTCAGCGTAGGTACCCGCTGGGCACGGTTCGCAGCATTCCTCGGCAGTTAATGCTCCGTCACAAGTCGAGGTGGCCTGCAGATTGGCAGCTTGCGAAGGCAGAAAGAAACTACAAAGCAGGCAACGCATTCGGAAATTTTGAAGCCCAGAACACGACTTTGGGAGACAACAGAAGGCAAAAAGACGAACGGATGGCGTTCTAAATCTGAATGTGGAAGGCCGCTTTGTATGTCGGAATGTTAATCATCTGCAGAATCACGTTCTACACAACGTGTTGTGATGGTGAACAATCCAAAAGGATGCGCTGACAGATGAACCGAAAACTTGCAGTCAATACTGCAAGTTTTTCGGTTCATCTGTCAGCGCAGACTCGGCATACCCGGCTTCCTGGCGGGCACGTAAATGGTTCCTCTTCACCTCCAGGGCAGAAGTATCCCTTGGGACACGGCTGCGGGGTCTCTGCTTCATCTGGGCAGTAGTGGTTGGCCGGACAGGCAATTGGTTCCACTGTCTCTCCGGGGCAGTAGAAATTTGGCGGACAGGGAGTAGGCTCTATAGACCCTTCCGGGCAATACGCCTTCGGCGGACAGGCTGTCCTGTAGCTTGCTAATTCTCTCTGAACCAGCATCCCCCTTTCAATGTCTAGCAGCGGGGTTCCTTCTGTAAATGAGCGGTAAGCTGCCTTTTCTCCGGAGCACGAAAAGCCTGCGAGACTCATGCCAGGTAGGTAGGTAGGTAGTCTGGTGGGCTCAGCGGACTGCCGATGCAGCCGGCCATCAAGGTCACTGCGGCAGCCCATTCACCAGAAGTTGTAGAGATGTGATCTCCCAAACGGAATTGTTTGTAGGGGCTGATGCCTTATTCGGTACCTTCAGGGCACGGCTTGCAGTCTTCAGGTGCTTTCGTGCCCACTTGGTTGTTGAATGTCCCTGGATCACACGTTTTAGGCTCCGCACTCCCTTCCAAGCAATAGTGCCCCCACGGGCAAACGCTGTTGGCGTACAACTCCATCCCCTCAATAGGGCATACGTGGCCCTGCAAACAAACAGTCGCAGACGCTTAAGACAACATTCTACAAGTTTAGTAGGGGCAGCGGACACTGGAGCGCAGAGGCGGGTAGCAGTGCTTCTGCATGTTGCCTCTGCCCTTAGGGTGCAGGAAAGCATGCACTGCATGCCTTGCTGGCGATGTCCTGCTGTCACATTTCAATTAACTCAGAGAGACATCGGGGACTCCTCATGAAAGCTGCCAATGGCTTGACTGTAGTACGGGAAAGGCAGTTGCCAGTATACCCACCGCCTCACACGGCCTGCACGAGTCGGCAGCGGTTGCCCCACGAGAGCCCTGGTACGTTCCTTGAGGACAAGGAGAAATGGCCTCCTGTCCTGGGGGACAGAAGGAACCCTCGGGACAAATTATTGGGACCTGTAGGGCAACGGGACACTGAGCTGTCTAACAGTATACGTCCGGAGCTTTACTGCCGAGTACCAGCTGGGAGAACGCACGAAATGCCTCCCCATTTATAATGACTCCTTTTCAATACTTCCGCGCCAACTGAGTCAACGCCGGCAAGCATGGCCTTGCTGTGTTGAGAAGGCAACGGAATACCCACTAACCTAAGAAAGCAGCATAGCAGTAGCATTCAGGGGAGGATGCCCTGCTCCTACCATAGTCACAGCGTTGCATAAGTAGCCATTTGGACAGGGGGCGCAATCGCCTGCCTCCGTTGCCCCCTCTGTAGTGGTTGCCTGGCCATCGGGACATCGTTGTGGAGACGTGGCTCCAGCTGGGCAGTACATGCCCACAGGGCAGGGTCCTCTGAGGTGACGGAAGGTACAAGCAAGGGTACGCATAGCAGGCGGCTAGCTCATCCAGGAGATTCATAGGGTAGGATTAACCCTAGCTGAGTGCCTCTTTCCAGCCCTTTATACATTAAAAACACTTCGGGACCATAAAAGGAAGTTCTGCACTGTAGGCGTCTGGCTAATGGCTTTGCTAGCAGTCGACTCGGGAAGTGAAGTCGTCTGCAGACCCTAAAAGAACACAGGGGATTGTGCTATTTTCTAGCTGCCTACGCGAGCTGTATTTGAACTCCATTCCAGAAGGTACCGCTTTGCATTTCGAACTCGACGGAGGCAGCTGTCACCCCAGGAGCTGCACCGCCTAGGCAAATTGTTCCAGCAGGACAAGCGTCTGCGTCTCTGCCGTCGGTGCATACTCTTCCTGCAGGGCATTCCGCGCATTCTTCTTGTGACGTGAGGCCGGCAGACAGACCCACAGTCCCGGGGGCACAACGCGTCTCCGTGGACTGCCCAGAAGGACAGTATCCGCCTTTAGGGCACTCTTGCTTCTGTCGGTTCTCGCAGATGAAGCCAGCCGTGCAGGCGGGACATTCACTCATCCCTGACAGGCAGCAGCAATAGTCCTCAGCAGGCGGAGATCTGTGAAGGAAGAAGAAACATGGGAACCACTTATACTGCATCATTCCGGGAGGTCGTCTTCTACCAATCGACTTAGGCACAGTGTCGCCGCATCACGGGGTTGCATGGGGACCCTCAGTGGAGAGGGGTGAAGCTGCCTTCAAGATGCAGGGGGGAGATATGGCAAAGGAACACAAATAATTCAGCTAGACGAGACAACCCCATATGCTTTACACGTTTCGGCAATTTAAAAGAGGCAGACTACCTGTGGCGACGTTGTATGTGCCCCCAGGACAATCCAGAGGACTAGAGGAGCCTGAGCGCGCATCCAGCATGCATACATCTGCCGCAAGCATCAGCACACTTGCGTGTTACACTGATTGATTCAATAGTTCTTCCTTAGAATGCATGTGCATCTTGACGGTGTGGGTGTAGCCGGATAAGATCCTCCCGCTTACCCAAGACTGGTGGGGGTTTAGAGTTGGAATACCCTACCTGCTGGGCAGTATTGATGCTGAGGACAGATGTTTCCGTGCGTGACGTCTTGGGGTGTTGGCGTGGACGATCCCTCTAAACAGAAAAAACCCGCAAAGCATGGCCCGTCCGCCGATGCTGTTGAGAGAGCCGAGTGAGCGCAGTAAACCCCTGCTGGGCACTTCTTGCACTGGGTTGCCCCTTGCTTGTCATTGTAGAATCCTGCTGTGCAGGGCTCAGGTACAACCTGAAAGGCAAGAGGAAACAAAGAAGAAGACCAGAATGCTCAACGTGGCCACTTACAAGGGTTAAAAGCGGGCTTGTGGGAGTGCTGAAGGCTGCCTGTAGACTGAGGAGGTCGCAGGCCTTCAAAGGCCAGTCGTAGCGAGCGTGGGACCTCGCACATCCCATTCTTATCTTCCATCGGTCGACGGAGAGAGTCTTACAGCTCCTTCTGCACATGTATACCCGGCGGGGCACTGCACCACTGAGGTGGGAAGGTAAGCCAGCGACGAGTCGTTGATTTGTGAGCCGGAGATACACCACGTCCCCTCTTTGCAATTCGCAGTGAAGGTGTTGAGGCCGGCTGTCGCACAGTACTTCCCTGCCCACAAACGCAGAAGCAGGCCAAATGCGTGAGGGGAAGAATTGACACATTGCTCTTCGGTCTCCTCTGGATATGCGCGTGAACGAGAACTCCACGCTGAGGATCGGGCCTGACTGCTGGCTGTTGGCTGGGCCGCAACACGGAGCCGCTGAAAGGGTGTCTCCTTAGTACAACCCAAGGACGACGGCCTTAAGTGTCCGTTCAACCGGTGCTTAGATGTCTCTCCGCCAACCTGGAGGGCACGCAAGACAGCCGCTTAGGCTGGTCTGCCCTTTTACGTCGTTGTAGGTCCCCACTGGGCACAACCTCGCGCTGATGGCACCTTCTGGACAGTAATTCCCAACCGGGCACCAATTCCCAGTGGGTGACGTGAGGCCTGAGTCCAAAAGGGAGACCGCGGCTGTCTCTTGATTGCGCTTTCCCTGTTATGCGATGCCTGAGACGCCGTTTTACTGCCTGTCGAGCTAAATGCAAAAAATATGATGCAGGACCTTCTTGGACCTGATGCATTATGGAAAAGGAGAAGCATCATGTTGTACTCAAGAACAGTCTACTGCTTAGCCTGCGTATGCACTCACTCACCTTCGCTGTCGCAGAGGACGCCGGCAGGGCATGGGTCGCAGCTGTCACCGAGTCCTTTGGTGGGCCCGTACGTGCCAATGGGGCAGACCCGGCTGTTAGTAGTGCCCCGCGGACAGAAGCTACCCTCAGGACACATATCTCCCGTCTTTTTATCAGCAGGTCTCGCTGTCAAGGCCCCCCCCTTGCAAATGAAGCCTGCATCGCAGGGTAGCTTGTCCCCAGAAGTGCCACAGTAAACCCCAGCTGGGCACTTGAGGCATTCCGACTCCGCGGTCGCACCCCGACGGGTATGGCCGGTGCCGCTGGGGCAGTGGGACGGAGCCCAAGCTCCCTCTGGACAAAATGAATTCATAGGACACCTGTGGGGCACGCACGGGAGAGGCGATGAGGCAGCAGGCCAGTGGGGATGCAGCTTCGTATTATTTGTGGCATCGCCGAGTCAGTTGCTATCTCAAGCTTCTTTCGAAAGCATGTGGAGAGCAGAGGCCACACTGAGCTTACAGTCGAGCGTAAATACAGGGGAGAACCCCGTTGCAGGGGTCGTCGTCTTCGGTGTCATCTTTTTGGCTTGTCCAGAGCACCCCGTTGGAGGGGGCACGGCGGCCTCCGCTCGAGCTGCTCAAGGTCCCAGCACCGAAGCTGCAATAGTAGCCAGGAGGACACTTCTGATAGTCTCCTTTGGTGCCCTCATGGGGGCAGTATTTCCCCGGAGGACAGGGGAAGCAGTCCTCTAAGGAGATGCCTCCAGTGACGTTCCTGTACGTGCCACTGGGGCAAGGCTGGGGTTCCTCGGTCCCTGAGGGACAGTAGCGGCCCTCCGGGCAGATCTCAGGGGTCGCCGAACCTTCTTTGCAGTAAAAGGAGGCGGGACATGGGAGGCACTTGCTACTGCCCTCGTCTACCTGGTAGGTCCTGAGACACCGAAGGAAAGCAGCTCTGGTTGTCTGTAAGTACCGCCAACCCCCACGGACCGTGCACTCTACTGGACATCCAGGAACACACACAAACCAGCTAGAGACGATTGGGCGACGTCTACGTGCGCATTTCTGGGCTGCACAGAAGTGTGCAGAATCTCTACATATTATGAACAGATTACCCGCCACGGGTACATCCCTATACAGGCGGGGAATTCCAAAAGATAAAACAAGATACTGGTAGCCAAGGAAGAGACGCTGTACAGTGTGACGAGCTGCAGCGGCCAATGCGTTCCTGATGGAACAGCGGTGCCAATGCGGCTGCTGTAGCTGCTGCTGTAGTGCTCACACTTTACTCCGAGAGCCCCCTGGGAAAGTAGGGGAAACGACACTAGATTCAAACAAGAAATGCGCTGCTAGACTATAGCATTGTGGGGGCACTTTCCTTAATCGTACCCGGCCTGGCAAGTGTGGGGCTCTGACTCCCCACTCCCACAGCGAGCGCCTGCTGGGCACAGCATTTCGGTGTTCTCCTGAGAAAATATGCAACAAGCTAGTGCCACAGTCGTACAGCGGCGGCCATCAAGCTGCATTTGATTTGCAACAGAGATGGGCATCCTCCCGTTATCTCCTCTCTCTTGGCAGTCCCAGAGGCAGAGCATCTGGCTACTTCACACTCACCGTCGAGCCTGCAGGACAGTAGAAACCCTCTAAGCATTTGCCCGCCTCCCGGAGGAGACCGGGCTTTGGACAATACGATCCAGCAGGACACGGGTCGCATGCACTCAGCTCGCGCCCCGAGCGGTGCTGGCGCACAGTCCCTGCACATGCAAACGAGCGGGTCTGCCAACTGTCCAGCTAGCTAGTGAGCTGGCCGTCAGGCTGGTTCCCTAGCTAAGTGGACGTCTAGTCAATGAGGCGGCCAGCCAGTCTACGCAAACAGTGGAACACACAACCATTAGCGTAGCAAGCTGTACGCACCCCTGGGGCAAGCGATCGGCACGGAGGATCCGGCAGGGCAGTAGTGGCCTGAGAACCGCAGACAACGCAGTCCAAAACGGCAGTTGAGGCATGTTTTGCCAGCAACTGCCGAGAAGATGCTGATCCAATGCTGCCGTTAAAAGGAGTCTCTCAGGCTGTTGAAGCAATGGTGAACTTAACAGTAGCCTCCGAAATGCGGAGGCAGACCCACCCGACGGGCACAGCCCCCCCACCGTCTTCGATGGACAAACGTGTGTGGGGCCAGACGGGCTGTCAGTAGTGGCGTTGTTGCCGCAGAAACTGCCGGCTGCACAGGGTCCCTGTGGCTCCGTTAGAAGGGACCTCCCGCAGTACATGCCAGGTGGACACGGACTTGGAAAGCGAGCCTTGGCTGGGCAGTAGCTGCCTGATGGGCAGGGGCCTCCCCCTGTGGTGGGTGCTCCCGAGCTGCCTTGGGCAGCCGCTAACGCCTCTTCGAGCGAAATGGCTGTTGAAGGAGTCGTGGAAACAGACTCAGAAATGCAGTAGTAGCCGGAAGCGCATGCAGTGGGGGTTGCAGTACCAGGTGTGGGACAGGCGTGGCCTGCGGAGAGCCGAAGCAGTGGGGAGTTGTGAGCAATTGACGACTTGCACAAGAGTGATGCGTCAGCACCTACGGTTTGGCCTTTTACGGTTCGGTGGGGAGAGAAGGGCCTTCATTATACCTTCGGGACACGGAAGACAGGAGTCTAGACTGGTGGCCCCTTTGAAGGGCCTGTATGTGCCGACAGGACAGAGCTGGGCATCATTCTTTCCGTCGCAGTAAGAGCCTTCGTCGCAGGCGGAGACATTTCCTGTCGTGCATTGTGTGCCTGCGGTGCAGCGAGAGCATGTCGAAGAGCCGTCTGCAAAAGTGGAGAAGCCAATTGGACAGCTCTGAGCTTCGGCAGATCCTTCGGGGCAGACTTTTCCCTTGGGGCACAACTTCGCCCAGGGAGACGTCGATCCTTCAGGGCAATAGAATCCTGCCGCACAGGGCCCAGTTATTTTCCCCGGGGTGCTGCCGTCGCAGTATTTGCCCCCTGTGCAGGGCCGGCACTGCACATCCGACCCAAAGCCTGCTTGGGAGCCATACGTGCCGCGAGGACAGGGGACAGGGTCCAGGGCTCCCGCTGCGCAGTAAAAGCCAATGGGGCAGGAAACAGCTGCCTCCAGGGACGAGCTGCCCTCCGCGCACATCACGCCTCCAGGGCATGTCATGTCAGGATCATCGAGGCCGTTTGTTGTGCAGAGTTTGCCTGAACAAATGTGGCTCACAGAGGAGAACAGCACAGCAGTGGCGGCGGCTACGAATACTCGTGTTGCTTGCATAACCTCCCCTCCTTCGCTTCTTCTCCTTGAGCCGAGCAACCTCTGAGAAGGCTAGGAGGGAGGCTCCAGGGTGCCAAAAAGGTACCGGCTGGGCACTTGATGGGCACAACAGTCCCTGCAGGGCAGTAGCTGCCAGCTGGACAGGGTTTGACAACGGTGGCGGAAAGTTTGGCTCGATCGCCTGGGGCGCAGTATGATCCTTTGGGGCAGATAGTGTTAGTGTTGGCGCTGGTAAGACCGGGGTCGCTACAGACTTTGCCGAGGGGACATGGCTGGCATTGATACTGGCTCTTGAGGCCCTCTTCGCTGGCGAAGGTCCCCGCGGGACACTGAGGGGGGGCGGTGGAGTCGGAGCTGGCAGGACAGTAGTGGCCAAGAGGGCATTTGTGTTGACTATAGTCGGAGGTGCGGATGCCGCAGGAGTATCCTGCGGGGCAGGGAGAGCACTCAGATGCTCCTTTGATCCAGTTGAAGGTACCTGAAGGTCCAGAAGCACACAAAACGACCCCGAGGAGGCATTTAAGCCCTGCCCCAGAAGAGGGGCCCGCAGAAGAGACAGAAGTGCGCGCTACTACTGAAGCAAGAGGGGACAACACACAACACAGTTTAACAGACCCAGTGACACACACCGGCCGGACAAGCGATCTCCCCAGTGGCTCCAGCTGGACAGTAGTTTCCCACTCTGACCACACAGCAGCTTCATTCAGCGCAAAGCTCAGCTAAGGAGACAACGCTGACAAGCAAGAGGAGCGCTGTCCACTGTACTACCCGTCTTTAGCGTTTGTCTCTTCAGAAGAGTTTCCTTTACACAATGGATAAAACTGCCGGACGGTTGGCCAGGACAGTGCCCACCTGCAGGGAACAGCGTAAGGCGTTCGGCTGCCTGCTGGGCATAGGTACCCAGGAGCGCACAGACCCTCGGGCTCCTGCAGCCCCATCCTCGAGCAGTACGAGCCCTCCGTGCACTTGGTGCACTGGTAATCCGTCACGAGGCGATCTGTGGCCCCGTATGTCCCGGACTCGCACAGATATGGCCTCTCGACTCCCTGTATACCGCAGTGCACGCAGGATGGAGAGGATCTGACCGTGTGCTCAATCGGCCAGCTGTCTCCCGTCTGAGACGCTAAACCTAAACCCTTAACCTAAACCATACCCATGCCTCCCTGAACTACACATAGGCATGTGCTTCCAGGTTTGCATTAGTCAATGCTTCAGGTGTTGGGGCATGCGACGGGGGATGAGGAGCAGCAAACTGCTGGGCATATTATTAGGGACCAACTCGCGTGCAGTAGCTTCCTCTAGGGCACGGCCCCGAGCTGCCGTCTTCAGCAAGATCGGGTCTGGGCCTGGAGGCCCCGCGTGCACAGAAGTATCCTTCGTCGCAGGTTCCGGATACCGACTGATTGCCTGTACCGTAGCAGTAGGAACCGGGAGGACAGGGCCTGCAGCTTTCGAGTGAGGTCTGCATGGGGCTTGAGCTGAGAGTGCCTTCAGGGCAGGGAATTGGCGTGATAGACCCCTCCTCGCAGTATGATCCCGCGGGACACTCTAGTAGAGTCTCAGATCCTAACTCTGGGCAGTAGTATCTGCGGCGAAGGACGGCACACCAACAGCAAACTCAAATGGAGTTGGTTCCCCTACATGCATTGCGTCTGCCTCCCACGCGTATCGCGTGCAATGCGTCCCATGCACTTTGTTGTCCCTTCTTGTGCATCCCGCCAGCAACTCAAGTCGTATAGAGATTAGTAGCTCACCCCGGCAGACATGGGGTGCACTGGCCTTGCCCTTCATTGGGGTTGAAGGTACCCTTGGGGCAGGGAGTGGCCACAGAGGATCCCTCCTCAGCAAAATGTCCTTTGGGGGCCCTCTGCTGCCTGGGGTTACTCGCGCCCCCAGTGCAAATGTAGCCGGCCTCACAGAGACCTGTTGGAGCTGTGCTGGTGCTGCCTTCGCAGTAGTAGCCGGGGGGACAGGTGACACAGTCCGCTGGCCCCTGGCCTATCTTGTCAGGGTTGTAAGTACCTCCTAAGCAAGGCTGTTTCTGCAGACCCCCAACGGGACAGTAGCCTCCTAAGGTGCATGCAAAACCCGTGACGCCGTCGACAGGCTGAGGAGTCGTGGCACCCCCTAAACAAATATACCTGCGGGAGAAAGCAAGACAGTGCAAATCTATCATTCGCAAGCAAATGTCTATCACTCTGCAATAACAGACAGACGCCAAAAACCCTTTAGCTAAGCCTGTATTGTACTAGGCAGAGTGGTGCTGTCTTTACACCTCAGGTTTCAACCAGGGTGCCAGACCCAAAATGGGTGTCTGCGCTATGTTGGACTGCTGCTGTACACACGTAACTAGGAGATACCATGTGGTGGATACAAAGACGGAGGTGTGCCCGCAACGAGATAACACCAAATTGCCAAAGGGAAGACAAAGTTACACTTGCAAACAAAATAACATGAAGAGGCGCTCTCACGCAAGTGGGGTAAATGTGATCTCGTGCGGAGAAGGAGAAGCACAAAAAGCAAAAAAGAACAATGTGCATAAAAGGTCGATAAGAGTATCTACACTGCAGATATTAGTGTACACTAGGATTATCCGTGTTAGCACAACCCTGCAATGAAAGGAGCATGTTCTGCACGATATAGACTGGAGTTGAGGGGAAGGCTCCCAAAAGGGCAGACTGGGGCAACGGCAAAAAGAGACTGACCCTGCCTGGCAAGCACCAGAAGGCGTAATGAGGCCGGTGCCGGAGCAGAAGTAACCAGCGGGGCAGACGAAGCAGTCTTCTTTGGAACCGCCTCCAGTGTATCCTCTGTAGGTGCTCTCGGGGCACCTCTGAGCCTGTACGGAGCCCGCAGGGCAATAATGACCTGCTGGACACGGCTGCTGCACCAACACCCCGTTTTGCACCTGGCAGGTAACTCCCGGCTCACACGGCTCGCAGTCCGCTTCTGACTGGCTGCCAGGGTTGCGCCCCACAGTCCCTGAAGAGTGGAGGGACACAGAAACTCCAGCCCCTCCTAATACGGCAAGGTACACCCTGGACCCGTCATTCTCGAGGACAAAAGGACAGCGGCAGACAAACCAGTGACAACACAGGATGTGTCTAAACAGCTCGGTCGGCAGTTGCTTAGAGACATGAAAAGCAGGGTCCACCCAACTGCCACAGAAGCCGCCACACGCATGTGTCCTGATTGAGTGCCTCCTACCGGCAGGACAGATAAATGCCCTGGCACTCGCAGAACCTTCAGGGCAGTAGTAGCCAGGGAGACAGCTGCCTGAAGGCTCTGTCGACCCAGCAGTGTCTACATAGGTTCCTGCAGGCGCCGGCAAACAATCGTTCATAGATGTTGCCCCCGTATTCGGTCCGTAGGTGCCCACTGGGCAGGGCTGAGCAGGGGATTGGCCCTGAGAAGCGACGCATCATTACACACCACACAACCCGACAAAAACTCAGCTCCTAAAGGACCAAGACTTGGAGACTGGAGCCTGCAACAGGCCAGCACGGCTCCCCGCTAAGAGCTGTGAGCCCATCAAACAAGGGATCAAGAGGGAGTTTTGGGGTTGGAAATGCATGAAGCGCTGGCAAGGGGCAAAATGCTGTCAAGGAAAAGCGCGCTGGTGCTGCCAGCTCACACCGGTACAGAACATTCCTGCAGGGCAACCGTGAGTTTCTGTGGTAGGCTTTTTGAGAACCTGCAACACCAGAGCAATCCACGCTCAAGCCCCAAGACACCCCCTATATAGGTAACGTCAGCAGTGCGCTGCATGCACACGCTGCGGCATGCTCGGCATGCATGCATGCTATTCATGCATGCATGCTATTCATGCATGCATGACAGGCTAATGCATGCATTTTCAGCAATGTTTCAGCCTTCCCCTTCCAAAGGTTGCAGGGTGTTCCTTTTGCACAGTGTGGAACCCTCCGGCCCTACTTTCTCTTCTTGCTCTAGACGACCCGCTGGCTGCATGGTGCAAGTGTGGTGTACGTGGAGCCCGGAAGCAAGGCAGCACTGTGAAGATCTAATACAGCTTGGGGTGCGTTTCTAGGAAAATGGGGCTATTTAAGGAGTCTGTCCGTACCCCAGCGAGGGAGCAAATAAGTCCCGGATCGCATTTCTTCTTCATCATGTCTTCGTAGGTCATCTGCGGGAGGTCGCAGTAGTGCCCAACGACGCACAGCTCGCAGTCAGCTGCCCCCGCATTGGAATACTCTCCCGCCGCGCAGGGTGAGGGGTTAATAGTGCCAACAGGACACGCGAAGCCTGCTGGGCAGGCCGTGCAGGAAGCAGCGGGAGCAGTTCCCTCTGAGTGACACCGACGCCACGCAACAGACACACCCAGCAGTCGGCAGCAGCAACAGGCGCTCTCACAAAGGGGAATTTGCAGGCACCAGGCACCTCTTAGGAGTCACCACGGCACCCTGCTGCAGATGTTCCGACGGCGGACAGCAGACTATGCCAGCTAGCTAGATAAGGTTAGCTGTATGAGCTGCCGTCGGCAGGTGCTGTTGCAGCAGCGCAGCTGGCCAAGAACCCTCTACATGCGCCTTGGATGGTTATTGCCTTTTGTTCTGTTGCTTGCTGCTTTGCGTTCAAGACTCACTGTTGTATGTTCCTGCTGGGCACTTTCTAGGGGTTGTAGTGCCGCTCGCTGGGCAGAAGGACCCCCCAGGACAGTTAACGCATGCACTAGCGGAGCTTGCACCGGTTCTGCAGCAGCAGCATGACAGTCAGCTGCATGCAGAGCATCTCAGGCCGTTGCTAGCAACGACCTGATGGGCCCACTACATGCAGTTACCTGCATGCAGCGCACCTAAGTTCTTCTTTCCGGCCAAAGGGATAAACCCCTTCCCCAACCCTAAACCCAATAATCTAAACACATATATTTCTTCCCCTGAGGTCTGCCAGTCCGTCTAGGAGGGGGAGAGGTGAGGGACAGCCGAACGCGAAGATTAGAGTTTAAGGTTACTTAGGGAACGGTACTTGGTGTTGTAAGTGCCTGGGGGACAGGGTATGCCGAGGGCGAGTCCTGCTGTGGGGCAATAGAAGCCAGAGGGACAACGGTCGGGGTCGCTTTGGCCGAGTGCGGCACAGAAGGTGCCTACAGGGCAAGCGACACAATCGGATTTTGAGGTTGCCTTTCTGTTGCTGTTGTATGTGCCTGCAGGACACGGCAGAGAGCGGGCGTCATGAGTCCCTGCGGGGCAGTAGTAACCCGCAGAGCATTCTTCCCAGTGGTTGCCGAAGGTACACCCGTAGCCTGCGACAAAAAGAGCAGAGCACAACAATAAAACGTAACACAACACCCAACGCCTCTCAGTTGCCGAAACAGCACATTCTCTAATATAATATAATGCAGTATTGAATAACGTCGTATAGCATAATAGTTTATAACATAGGTATCAGCACCAAGGGCAAGCGTGTGGGAGTGTCTGCCACTGCAGGAGTGCCTCTCGTCCTGCGGAGGTGACTCTGAGCCAGCACCTCAGTGGCAGCTGGGGGTACAGGGTGCTGCTCAGCAGCACGAGGGGAGCGAGCATCTTTTAGCTAATGGGTCAGCCAGGGGAGTGACTAGTGTTAACTTGCCAGCAGGGCAGAGAGCACAGCCCTCAATTGATGTCACTACGTCTTTGGCATACGTTCCCGGTGGGCACGGGAAGCTTTCAAAGAAGCTGCACCACATGCGCATGCACCAATTACGCAAGCATTCCAATACACCGAATAAACACACATGCATTTGTGCATGCATGCATACATGCATGCATGGGAGCAGGCATGCGTGCATGCGTGGATGTATGTAAGGCGTTTGGCGGTGGCCTGGTCGTGTTGTGTTCCCGCGTCTCTGCAACTCCTCCTGCATGCAGCTGTCTCGCCCTCTGTGTTTCTCCCCACCAGCCTCCATTTCCTCTAGGGTGGGCGTGCGTGTGTTTGCCTGCTTGGTTCTCTGCGTCTCTGCTGCTGGGACGTCTCAAGCGATTCTTTCAAGGGCAGCATAGGAAGGAGACAGGCAACCCCCATTAGGGCACCTGTATATCTGCGCTGACTTGCGTGTATCTGCGTATCTGGGTGCATGTGTCTCTAAATTTGCATGCCTCTGTTTCTGTCGGTGTCTGCGCTGTTGTTGTTGTGTTGCTGCTGCTAGTGTCTCTTACGCTGTTCCTTCTGGCAATATATAACCAGCGTAGGGCGGCGAGAGAGGCGTGTGGATGTGATAGGCATGACAGAACTTTCCGGCTGGGCACGGACGGCAGACGTTCTGCACATGCAGGATGGAGACTCTGCTGCTGGTGGCTCTCTCGTACCCCGCCCTCCCTAGCAACACCTCCCTGCTGCTGCCCCCCCTCCTTGCACCCCAAGCTCTAAACCTAGGTTGGCGACTGCAGATCAACTTTTTGTTGTAGACGAAAATCGCGGCGCCAGACACAAGAACGGCGGATGCAACGGTGCTCTGCAAGCCTTTTTAGAGCACGGAAAGGAGAAAAGGAGCGGGTGCTTACCAAGCTTGTTTGCGCCTGGGTCTGGTCAGCGTAGTAGCCGGGGGGACAGGGTCTCTCGTTGAGGGATCCCTGCAAATGGGGAAGGAGGCAGAGAAAGGAAAGGACTAGGGCACGGCGGTGAAGTTTGCTTTGTGGTGTATGGTGTTACACAGGTGGTGATTTTAGGAATTAGGGGTTGTTGAAGTGTATGGATGAAGAAACATCGGCAGCAGCAGCAGCGTTAACAACAGCGCCAGCAGCAGCAGCAGCAGCAGCAGGAGCATTGGGGGGATCTGTCGTACAGCCTCGCAGACACCGATGTCATTGTTACAGAAGAACAAGTATTTTTCTTTTGGCATATATTCTTTGTAGCCAGCACGGGGCCACTGACGGTTGTTATCACATATTAAGACACTAGTATCTGTGCAGTCTACATCCGTATAGTAAGTAGCGACTGCTAAGAAATCTGCCTTGTTGCGTTCAAAGAAAACAGGCAGCCTGCGGGCGACCTTCCTCTGTGAGAGGGGTTTCTTAGACCTCATCTTTACAGGCTCCTGCAGCCCCACAACAACACAGTGACCTGTGCCAGTGCATGCATGCAACTGTTAGGCAACAATAATGCATACGCGGCGGAGAGCAAACAGACACACGCCCCGCCTATTTAGTGTAACTGTTGATGCTGAGTGGCGTTCATTAACACTTGTCCAATGCATGCACAAACCCTGTTTGTATGCCCTAGTATTCAACAACGATGATACAACGAGCATGCAAGAAAAATCCCTAAAGGTAAACCCGAACAACAACATCCAGTCACTATAAACCCCTCGGATAAGTCTCGGAGGGGCAGCAGGCGTCTCCTCCCCAAAGTCTCCTCCCCTGTCTCTTCCCTAAAAAGGAAGAAAGACACTCACCTCTTTTTTAGGTGCTTCTACAGACTTTCGTGGTTTAGGGATATCTTCACACTTATCTACAAAGTTCATGCAACGGGTGTCCAACGCAGCCTTCTCGCTAACTCGTTGGCCTCTAAGGAGGAGACACGCACAGTGCATGAGGGCTCACAAGCAGTATCTTGCCTTGCCAGCCTGGCAAGCTAGCTAGACAGGTGGCTGACTAGGTGGGTTGCTGCGAAACCTAGCTAGCTAGCTATGCAAGTCTCTAGCTGGGTAATTGGGCAGCTGAGCCGCTGGGAAGCTGGTTAGGTGGGTAGGTGGCTAGCAGGCTGGTTAGGTGGGTAGGTGGCTAGCAGCTAGTTGGACAACTGGCTTGCCGGTGTTAGATGGCTAGGTACCAATAAAGTGTGGGGGTGGTAGAGGAGGGGATAGAGGGCATGCAACTTACTCCGGGCAAGGATAGAATTTACCTCCCCAGCAGACACCACCTTGAGGACACTTGGGGTCTGTTAAGTGGGTGTGGCAGATGTCTATAGGTCTCTGGATGGTTGCATTGTCTGGGTCTCTTTCGAATCCCTCGGAGACAGGCAAAACTAGGAGAGGCGAGGGACAGACACTGCCAGGGGGACAAGGCCTGCAGCGTCTCTCCCTTACCCCATCCCTAACCTCTTCTAACAACGCCTCCCCCTCAGCGCATGCAGAGGGGGGCTGAGCGGGATCGAGACATTCCGATCCCGGCGGACAGGGACGGCAACTCAACTCCCCCGGCAAAGAATAAGAGAAAAACCTCTCGCAAGCTGTCAAGACACCCAACGAGCAAGCAAACCCACCAGGGCATGCACGGCAACCGCCAGACCCGTCCACCAAGCCTGAATATTACGCACCCACACACCCACACAAACAGTCCATTATTGTATTCATCCGCGCATGCATGCATTAGTGCATGCTTCTTTGTGCTTGCATTGACAAGACGAAGGAAGGACCTCCTAGGTATTTCTAGAGGGTCCTGGCCAAGCCCAACGCTGCTGCCTCTGTGATGGATGCACCTGCCAGCCCCGATAAGATACCCACCTGAGGGACATGAAATGGGAGCCCTCCCTGGGTGAGGACACAAGTGCTCAGGGGGACACTCTTCGCATGCAGCCCTCAAGGTGTTTGTGGTAGAACCGACAAGGCCCTTCGCGCATGCAACTGCAGTGTCTCCGTTGCATGCATGACCCAAGGGACACTCTTTGCATGCGTCTTTATCCCAGTAATACCCCACACGGCAAGGGGTTTGCTTGGGCCTGACAACGCAAAGGCATGCAAATACCCAAGATACACACACACACACACACACACACACACACATACACCGGAGCAACGACAAACAGCACAGGACCAGCAGGGACAGCAGCAACCGCAGCAGCAACAGCATGATCAGAAACAGCAGCACGAGCAGGAGCAGCAGCAACAACAGCAGCAGGAGACTAGATATACTGCATCTGTCTCGAACTTGGATCTTCTCTGGTGGGTGGTGTTGGTGGCTGACACTTCGAACAGCCCCAAGCGGGAGTACTGCCGTGGGCGTCGAGGAGACGGAGACCGTCTCTGGTACACCTGTAGTGAGGAGACAGAGACAGCAGTAGCAGACAAAGACGGCAGCAGATTCTTCAAGACGAAGGCTGTCTCCACTGCCTGTAGCGGCAGCTGCACATCATAGTTCATGGTGTGGCACACGAATTTAGGGTTTAGGGTTTAGGGTTTGGGGTGTAGGGTTTGGGAGCGCATGCAATGTGCTGACTCTTCGCCCTCAGGACAGAGGGTGCATTGTTCTTGTGTGGGGTCTTTGCATCGAAAGAGTCTACCGAGGGAGCAGAAGAAGCCAAGGGGACAGGGCTTGCATGCAGCTGCATCTCTGCTGTAAAATGTAGTGTCTCCGCAGGATGCAAGCGTTGTTGCTGCTATTTGCAGGTCTCCTATCTCTTCTCCTTTGGGGGTAAAGAGGCGGCACTGCGCGGAGACAGCAGGCATTAGCTTAATAGAAAGGGGCACAGGGGCCCCTGGGACTCTTGTACCCTGCTGCTGCTGTTGTTGTTGTTGCAGCTGCTGCTGCTCTTCGGAGACACCGCAGCGGACTGTAGCAGTAACGGGGTACTTATCTGTTCTCTCACAACGAGCCCTAAAACAGGCCTTAAGTGCCTCCTCTGCCTCCCCAGGGTTACCCCCGGATAAGAGGACATCTATGTTTGCCTCGTTGCCTGGCATAAGGACCCAAGGTCTAACGAGCTCAATAGAGACAGGAACTGTCTCCCCTGCTACCTCCTCTTCTGCTGCTTTGTCTTCTTCTCCTGCTTCTCTTGTTGCTTGTTTAGAGGAAGAAGATGAAGGAGACGGAGACACCCAACGCTCTGTAGGGGGAAAAACAGCAACCTTCCCCCCTGCAGGCACCAGGCGAAGGTCTCCTCCTATACGCTCATCTCGCAGCCCCAAATGAAATGTAAGAGTGCATGCACTGTCTCCGCAGCCTGTTGCCTCGGGCCTCACGAGAGCAACGACCTCGCCTGTCTCCTCTTCTTCTTCACTGTCTTCGTTGTCGCCTGTCTCCTCATCCCCCGCTTCAACCAAGGGGTAACGCTGCTGTTGTTGCTGCTGCTGTTGTTGTTGCGGCTCGCCACTACTGTCTCCTTCGGTCGCTCCCTCCTTCGATCCCATGGGGAGACGATCCCCTCTCCGAATAGTCCGCAGCACCAACTCTGTCCCTGGAGAAGGAGACACTACTCGTAGGGCCCTACCAGCCCTCACCCTCAACCCTACTGTCCCCTCTATCTCCTTGTTGCTCTCCAACCGACACCGCACAGATAAAGGCCTCGGGGGCCTCTTGGTGACCCCTCCAGGGGGGCCCCAGAGAGCCTCCTCTGCTGCGTCGTCTGCGTAGGTGTGCACGCGACAGTGGACAGACACCGTAGGAGGAGGCCCCTGGGGAACTGCTGCTGCTGCTGCAGCTGCAGCTGCAGCTGCTGCTGCATCATCTGCAGTTGCTGCTGCTTCACCGGGTGTCGTACGAGCAGGAGAAGGTTTAAAGGGAGACAGGTCGTGAGCTACAAGGAGCTCGAAGGGAGGCTGCCCTGCAGTAAGTGCAGCAGCAGCAGCAGCAACAGCAGCAACAGTGAGCTCAACCTCAACAGCAACAAACTGTTGCCATTGCTGCGGACTAAACACCCAAGTATATTTATCTTGTGGGTTTTTTTGCTGTCCCCTAACAAGGAGAACCAGATCATTAGGCCCTTTTTCTTTTGCACTCTCCTCCTCCTTGTCTCCTGTCCCTCTAATTAGCTGAGGAGACACTAACAAGGAGACAGGTCCTGCAGGCTGTCTAGACAGCCGGATAAAGTAACCATAGCGAGGTTTCTCGGGTGTCACTGCAGGTGTAAAGGGGACAAAAACAAGATGTAATGGATCTGTCTCCTTTTGTCTCCCCGTGTCTCCTGCTGCTGTCTCCGTCGTCTGTAAGGATGCATCAAGGAGACGAACGGAGACAAGGGGGGAATCAGGACCCTCGAGGGGTTGGGTTACTCCTGCTGTAGCAGCTGTATCCTGCCCCCCTGACGATCCCGATCCCGATCCCGATCCCGATCCCAAAGGAGACTCTTCGTGAGCTACAGGTAGCAGCAAACGAGAAGGAGACACAAGTGTCTCCTCGAATAAGCTGAGCTGCTGCTGCAGCAGTCCCTCATCTACTAACATAGATACAGAGCATAGACGAGGCAGGGCCTCTAATATAAAGAAGAAGGGAGAGGAGACAGAAGGAGACAGTTGCACCTCCCATACAGCTCTGCCTCCTTGTAGCAGCTGAGGGCCCAAGCCACTTAATAACATATCTGCTGCTCCTGCTGCTGCTCCATCTGCTGCTGCTGCTGCTGCTGCACTTAATGGATCCTCTAGAAGCTGTAGAGACACCGAGCCACAGTCTGTAGGGAAGAGACGCCCTTCCTCATCAACAACTTCTGCATACACAACTGTAGGAACACCAGGGATAAGAGTAGGGGGGGACGCATGCATGCGTATGCGGTGGGGCAGCAGCCTATTGTTGTTGCTGCTACTGCTGCTGCTGTTGTTGCTGTTGTTGCTGTTGCTGTTGCTGCTGCTGTGGGTATCCGGCAGCTTATCAGCTGACGACTCTTGTGTCTCCTTTTTTATTTGCTGTGCCGTCAATTCTGTCCCTTCCTCTGCTGCTGCTGCTGCTGCAGCAAGGGGCCCCCAGTGTACAGGGCAAGAGGGACTAAATAGACGCTGCAGCAGCTGCAGCTGAGGAGACGGCATTGCAGAGGAGACAGACGGGGACAGATCTGCCTGTCTCCTCTCCTGTCTCCTTATCTTGTGTCCCTCTTCCTCTTCATCCTCCTCCCCCTCCTCCACCTCCATAGAGACAGAAGTCTGCTGCAGAGGTGTCCCTAACCCAGAAGGAGAGGAGACAGGGGAGGGGCCATCAGAGGGAGAGGAGACACCAGAGGGAGGGGAGCCATCAGAGGAGCCACCAGAGGAGACAGGGGAAGAGACAGGGGAGGAGACAGTAGCGGGCAAGGGGCTCCCCCTTAGACTTCTAGGGACAATTGATGAGGTGTCTCCTTCTTGTGCTGTCCCTGCAGGAGTAAGGAGGGAAGCAGCAAAAAGGAAGAAAAGAAGAAGAAGAGGAAAAGAGGGGAAAGGGACTAATAATATACCCATTGTCTCCTTATATAAATAAAAGGAGACAATGTATACACCCCAAAGGAGACACCTGAGGCACAGACACTGCAGGGGGGCCCCTTAGCCTCAACAAGCAGTGCTGCACAGGCGTAAGGAGACAGTTGCTGCATGCATTAATATATAAGAAAGGAGACAGATAGTTGCTGCATGCATTAATATATAAGAAAGGAGACAGATAGTTGCTGCATGCATTAATATATAAGAAAGGAGACAGATAGTTGCTGCATGCATTAATATATAAGAAAAGAGCTGCTAGCCAGAGGAGGAGACAAAAGGAGACACTAAGCAAAAGGAGACAGATGAGTATACACACAAAAGGAGACACCCAGCAAGGGTGACCCTATGTGTCTCCTTGTGGCTCAAGGCCGTTACAACTGCTGCTGCTGCTGCTGCTGCTGCTGCTGCTGCTGCTGCTGCTGTTATTGTACATAAAGAATTGTTATTAAGGGATAAGGTATATATATAATAAGGGAGACATTTCTTTTCCTTATAGAGGGAAGGAGCTTAGGTGTCTCCTCTGTCTCCTTTTTTTGTCTCCTTTTTGTGTGCAACTAAGTATGTATTTATTATTTATATTATTATTAGTGTATATATAAGGAGACACTAAGGAGACACCTAATTAAGGTGTCTCCTTTTATAAATATATATATTTTTCTTTTTTATTTTTATTAATATATTTAATTAATTAAATAAATAAATACAAAAATATATTATGTCTCCCCCTAATAACGCACTATACAAGCAGTAGTGTTGCTGCGGTGTATGTACACCTCAATAAGGAAGGGACAATGTATTCCTTATACAAAGGAGACACAAGAAAAACTATTATAATATTAATTATAACAATTAATTTGTGCACACATACACAACAACCTTTCTTTTATACTAGTGGGGCTGCAGCCGACAGCAGCAGCAGCAGCAGCAGCAGCAGCAGCAGCGGTGGAGTGACCAGCAGCAGCAACAGCAGCAGCAGCAGCAGCAGCAGCAGCAAATGTTTTATTCCGGACACTACTAAGAGAGACAATAAATAATAAATAAAATAAAATAATTATTTATTTAATTATTTTATTTTATATTAATTAAATAATTATTTATTTATATAAATATATTATATATATACTTATTTATTATTAATAACTAACTACCTGCCTATACAATGCGTATATATAATATAAATAATTATTTATATAAGTAAATAATTAATTAATTAAATTAATTAATATAAATAATTAATTATATATAATAATATAAATATATATAATTAATTATTATATATAATATATAAATAAATTATATTTATTATAACAAGAAAAGGAGACACCTAATACACAGGGTCACCTCTATTAAGGGACATTAATCCCCTCCCTGTGTCTCCTTTTTTTTTTTTTTTTTTTTTTTTTTTTTTTTTTTTTTAAAA